ATACCCCTCAGATGGACATTTATAACCCCAGGGATGAGCACTTCCAACCCCTATGGATGAGCATTCATAACCCCATGGATTAGCACTTTTAACCCCATGAATGAACATTTATAACCTGATGGGTAAACACTTATAATCCCATAGATGAACATTATTAACCCTACGAATGAAGATTTATAACCCTGTTTATGAACATTTACAACCTGGTGGGTAAACACTTCTAACCCCATGGATGAACACTTATAACCCCACAGATAAACACTTCTAACCCTATGGATGAGCATTTATAACCCCACAGATAAACACTTCTAACCCTATGGATGAGCATTTATAAGCCCATGGATGAACATTTTTAACCCCCTGGATGAACATTTTTAACCCTATGGACAAACATTTTTAAAAAAATGGATGAACATTTATAACCCTATAATGCACATTTATAACCCCGTGGATGCACATTTATAACCCTATAATGAACATTTTTAACCCTATAATGAACATTTATAACCCCATGGATGAACATTTTTAACCCTATAATGAACATTTTTAACCCCATGGATGAACATTTTTAACCCTATAATGAACATTTATAACCCCATGGATGAACATTTTTAACCCTATAATGAACATTTTTAACCCCATGGATGAACATTTTTAACCCTATAATGAACATTTTTAACCCCATGGATGAGCATTTAGAGTCCCTTTAAGACACTGTCCAACAATGAGGAGCAGGAGGGTGTTTGCAGCCCCCAATATTTCATATTCCACTTGCCAGTCCCAAGGAAAAGAAATGAATAATAAATTAACGTGGCTCATCTGCTTCCTCGAGGGTCTGGATTTGTCTTTGAAGCACAACAAGGAAAAGCTTTGCCTTATTTGCTGCTTTCTCCCCCCAAAACCACCTTTAATAACCTCTCCCTGGAGCCTCCCAGCAGCAGGAGGGTGCTGGCAGGGTCCTGGTGCCTGTGAGTCACTTCTGCCCGTGGATCCTGTTCCAAAATGACATCAGTGCTGATGGAAGCAGATCCACACGGAAGGGACAACCCCCCCCACGACTGCAGAGCCACGAGCTGATTCCTTTTTTCCATGAGATCCTTGGCTTTGCAGCAGAGCTGCCTCTGGCCAAGAAGAAAACCCCTCCTGGAAGCAACAGGAGGTGCTGGATGGAAAGTTTGGCTGGATGGATTTTTCCCCTCTGTGGTTCCTCCCCTGGCACGTTCCTCGTGCCCTGACGTGTCTCTGGGATTAGGGAATTGCTGGGACTTCTCCTGCTTTCCATCACAGGTTACACAACCACGGATATCCTGGGAGTGTGTGGATTCAACACCCTGCTCCTGCCAGTTTTTCCTCCTGGCCTGATTTCATCCATGGAAAAGGCTAAAAATTTATATCATCATGGAATCCTGGGATGGTTTGGGTTGGAAAGGACCTCAAAGCCCATCCAGTGCCACCCCCTGCCATGGGCAGGGACACCTCCCACCAGACCAGGTTGCTCCAAGCCCCGTCCAACCTGGCCTTGGACACCTTTTATCCCTTTTTAAATCCTTCTATCTTATTTTTTTCTTTTTACAGGTAAAATTAAGGATGTCAAGAGCAAAGGAGAAACACCACCCACGAGCTGTGTAATCCTGCAGCTGGTGCAGATAAAGACCCTCCTCCACTAAAAATCGGCCAAAAATGACATTTCTCTTCTGTCCTTTCTCCTTCCTGGGCTCTGCAGGGCTGCAGCCCCGGCACAGCTTCACCCCAGGTGTGCAATGAAGCCCTTGCCACCAAAAAAAAAAATGCAAAATACCCTAACAAAACTTCAATGTTTTAACTACACACTGAGATGGGAAAGCAACAGCCTGAGTGGCATCTTTTCTTCTGGCAGGGAAGGAAGTGCCCCCAGTGCTTTCCTTCCCTGGGCTGCCATCACCCCACTCAGTCCCCAAATCACCTTTCCTCTGCAAGGCTCCCACCATCCAGGCAGGAGCCAAATGTTACAGAGACATCTGGATCCCAAGACAAATGAAGGAGTTTTACTTTGAGGAGCCTGTTCTGTGGTGAGGCTGGAAAGTAACCCAAGTTCTGCAAAACACATTCCATTAACTCTCTGAACACAGCACCTATTCCCGATTATTTTTGCATTTGGAGGGTTCAAAGATGTTTCTGGATGAACTCAGTGGGATTTGAGATGGGATGAGCCTGAGCCCAGACTTTTTGCCAGCTCCAGGGAGTGACATTGGGATGGGGTGAGGCTGTGGGACTCCATCCCCGCCTCCAAACCCCACCAGATTACCCCAAAACCCCAGGAAATCCCTCACAGACTCTCACAAGCTGCAGCTGCTTCTCCAAGTAAGCCCAGAGTCATGTGAATAAAAGTGTTTTGTGTGAATTAAAGCCACAAAAAAAAATTTAAAAATCAATGAGGAGCAGTGAAGGAGATGAACCCACCCCCTTTCCCAGCTCACCATTAACCCAAACTCAGCATTTTCCATCCCTTACAAGAAAAACTCATCCCATTAATGATTTCTAAGCTGGCACAGAGCCTGTTGTGTTTCCACCATCCCCCGTGGATGAAGAAGGGCCAAACCTCCAGTGGAGATCGATGCAGCTCCTGCCTTGAAGCTGAGAGAAATTTTACCCTGCTGAGAAGCTAAAAACCCACATGGCCCCATTAAAGAGAAGCCCTGGATACACTGGGCTGGGTGTGTTTAGCCCTGCAACTTCCAGGATAAATTAAAAATTAATTAATAATCCATAGGCTGCTCCTGCTCCATTTGCAGCTGGAATCTAACAGAGTTTCTGTATTTCACCAAACAAGACCAAAACTTCCTTCAAAATATTTTAGTACAGAAAAATCATTATTTTTAGAAGCTGTGGATGGATTAATCCCAAACATCTCATTCCCAGTGCTGTATTTCTTTCCCTTCCTGGCTTGGGATTTTAGACATCCCAGGGAAGAGTATTAGAACCCAAACCAGGGAATCAGGAACCATCTGTGCATTCACACATGGAATAAATATCTCCTGCAGGAGAGAGCCTTGACAGGCTCACACACCTTAATCCTGCCCTGTTATTTGATTTTCTCCTCCAGAAATTAATATCCAGTTCTTCCCAGCACAGCCCAAGCTCCCAGTACAGGCCATTTCCCTACCAGACAGAAATCACTTTAATTTTTTTAACATAATCCAGCCAGATGGATAAACAAGGGAATGGAGCATCAGGATAAAATCCCCTTTACAGCCAGATGTGCTCTGTGGTCCAGGGGTGGGAGCAGTGCTGGGATGGATGTTCCTGGCCCAGCAAAACCTCAGGAGAGGTTTGGCTGCATCAGTGGCTGAGTTAAAATCATAAAATCCTGGAATGTTTTGGGTTGGAAGGGATCTCAAAACCCATCCCATTCCACGGGCAGGGACACCTTCCACTAGCCCAGGTTGCTCCAACCTGGCCCTGGACACTCCCAGGGATCCAGGGGCAGCCACAGCTTCTCTGGCAATTCCAGCCCAGCCTCTCCTCACTCTCACAACCAACAATTCCTTCCCAATATCCCATCCAGCCCTGCTCTCTGGCACTGGGAAGCCATTCCCTGTGTCCTGTCCCTCCATCCCTTGTCCCCAGTCCCTCTCCAGCTCTCCTGGAGCCCCTTCAGGCCCTGGAAGGGGCTCTCAGCTCTCCCTGGAGCCTTCTCCTCTCCAGGTGAACCCCCCCAGCTCTCCCAGCCTGGCTCCAGAGCAGAGGGGCTCCAGCCCTTGGAGCAGCTCCGGGGCCTCCTCTGGACTCGCTCCAGCAGCTCCAAATCCTTCTGAAGTTGGGGATTCCAGGGCTGGAGCAGCTCTGCAGGTGGGGTCTCACCTGAGGGGGCAGAGGGAAGAATCCCCCCAGGATCAGCCCAGGCCTGATGTAAATCAGTCTCAGTGTAATTAATTCCCAGCTTTATTTGCATCTCCCAACCTCCACGCAACCAGCCCAGGTTTCTCTGGACTCCAACTGTTTATTACAGCCCACCTTAACCCTAAAGGATGGGAAAACTCCCCATCCTGCTCTTTAGGTCCCTGTATATTCCAACCACATATTCTTACCCTCTGAAAAAGCCCCAGTTTGCCATGAGCATCCCAGGGAACTTTTAGTTGCCCTCTCTGGTGTTTCCTCCCATTAAATATCAGGATAACTCAACAGAAACTGTGACTGCAGGAGTGAGTTTTCCCCCTCTGGAGTGAGACAAACTCTGGAGGCAGATTTCTCCTTTCTCCCACGAGTCTGAGCCTGTTTTATTTCCTCTCCATCGATCCACAGAACAGCTCCCTGTTTCACAGGATAATGGATAATGGGTTTGGAGCTGCAGCCAGCAAGTGCTGAAAGCATCCTTTCCTTTCCCAGAGAAAGGAAACCGTGAGATTCCCAAACCAGCCCCAAACCTGCTCATCCCGTTGATATTCTTCAACAAACAATCCAAATTCTGTGATTTCCCAAGATTTCCAAACCAGCCCCAAACCCTCATATTTCTTCAATAAAAAGATCCAAGCACTGCGATTTTCCAAGATTTCCAGCCCCACCCTAAATCCTGCTGGCCTCACTGATATTCTTCAATAAACCATCCAAATGCTGCAATATTCCAAGATTTCCAAACCAGGCCCAAACCCTGCTGATCCCATTGATATTTCTTCAATAAACCATTCCAAGATTCCCAAGCAAGCCCCAAATCCTGATATTTCTCCAGCACAAAACCCAAACGCCGCAGTATTCCAGGATTTCCAAACCAGCCCCAAACCCTGGCGTTTCTCCAACAAAACCATTCGAGCCCTGCGATTTCCCAAGGTTTCCCCATCCCTGCTATTTCTCGGAGAAACCATCCAAGAGCTGCGATTTCCCAGGCACTCGTTTGGCCTCCGGCGTTGCTCCCCGCTCCCGGATCGTGCGGGAGGGCTGCTCCGGGGCCAAGCCCAGTTTTGGGGGCTCCGGCCGCGGTATTCCCCGGGGAAGGACGGGGCTGGAGCCCGTGCGGGGCTGGGCTGCGCAGCCCCAGCTCCTCCCTCTCGCTATTTATTCCTCCCCGGAGCTGCTGGGGCTGAATCACCTCGAGCCGAGCAGGGAAGGAGCTCCCGGCCGGTGAGTGCCGGGGAAAAAGGGACGCGGCGGCTCCGGGTGGGATAAACCCAGGGGCGAGGGGGGTTGGAAGGCCGAGCAGCATCGCGGGGATCGGGAGCTGCCTCCTTTCCCTGCCATCGCTGCCTAAAAATAGACATTTCCAGCGTCTCCTTAAGAGCCAGAGCTCGGCTTTGCCCGGTGCTTGTTTACTCGGTGCTTGCTCAGCGCTGATGCCGGCGGGGAATTTTCCCTTGGAGGGTTTTGTCCTTTCCCTCGTCTCCCAGCTGCTCCCCCGTTATTTGGGGGATTAACAGAAAAAAAAAAGGGGAGGGGGGAGGATTTCTAAAACTAGAGGTGACATTTTCAGAGAGCAAACTGCCAGCCTGCAGCCCCCTTTCCCAAAACCCCCGACCTGGAATTTCCATCCCCGACAAGCCGAGACATTCCCAGCATCGCCAGGAGGGTCTGGACACCCCCATTCCCGAGCATCTTCCCACCTCCACCTTCCACACCTCCCGGTGCTTCCTCCCCCACCCTCTCCCTCTCCACGGGCACCTTACCAAGGTTATTTCCACACTTGTTTTGGCACCGGGGTGTTGGTTTTCCCCTCTAAACCCGAAACCTCCTCCTTGCCGACCCTGAGCACGTAATTGCTGCTCGTGATCCCTCCTCGCAGCCTCCATTTTCCACTCCCCCTGTGCCCTGAAGGAGCACAGAATTCCTCCCGTTCTCCAGCACGGAGAGAAACCGCCCCGGTCTAAACCACCTGAATTAATTCCTCGTTTCCCACATCCGCAGAGAGGAGAGGAAGGTTAAACAGAGTCAGGGCAAAATACCTACGAAGCCATTCGATGGCATAATTTAATATCGATATTATGGTCACAGCAGAAATGTTGTTTCCAAGCAGAGGGATCACAGCTCCAAGCCCGGGGAAGCGGCTCCTGGTGCCCATCACCCCCGGGTTTTTGCCAGGGAACCCGTTTGCTCGGGGCGAAGCTCAGAGCTGGTTAATTAGCGCGACGCTAACGAGCCTTTGCCCTGTTTATCAGAGCTCAGCTCTGCGAAGGCAATTAGAGGAGCAGGTCAGAGCTGCTGGGCTGGAACATCCTCCAGGGCTTTACCATAACCTGTTTTCATCCGGGGGCCGATTTTTCCTCCTTGGAACTCACTGTGGGGAGTGATATCTCAAAACAAAAATTAAAAATTGCCATTTTGCTGTCTCCCCCCCCCCCCCATTTCCTGATTTTCACCCAGGTTTTGTTGTTTCTGCCGTGTCTTTCAGCTATTTTTAACCCCCTGATCTCATCCCTGCCCCCAGCGGGTGGGTGAGGAGGCAGCAAACCCACTCCAAAGAGGGTGGTTTGCACCCAGATTTTTCCATGAGCAGGCAGCCCAAGCCTGGAATTCCTCCCCATCACCAGGGACAGGCTTGTGCATCTTCCCTGCTCTTTCGTTTAGGCCTTTTGCAAACGATCCCACCCAAACATAGACGTTTAAAAGGCTTTAAATCAAACGTTTCTTGACATGAGACCAGATTTTAGGGAGTGTGGAGAGAAAAACATCATTATCTGAACCCAAGGAGAGATTAATTTGCTTTTTGTAGCCCATAAAACCATATCTAGGTCGCAACAGAAGAATTTCTGGTTTAAACAGTGGGTTGTTTGGCCTCTTTGGCTGTTAAGGGTGATATCTCAGGAGAGACCATCACCTCCTACTTGCATTAGGGTTATCCCTGGGGAAAGGGGTGAATTTTAAGGAAGTTGGTCCATTAGTTGCTGCAAAAAAAAAACAAAAACATTTAGGACTTATAATTAATTGTTTCTTGCTGTAACATGAGCCAGAAAGCACATCCAAGGGTGCTGTGAAACACCCACCCACACTGAGAATGCTTCTCTCGCCCTACCCAGCATCCTGGCGTGGGATTTTGGGGGATAGCTCAGGCTCAGGAAGGATGGAAAAACTCTTTGCTATGGTGCACTCACATATTAAACACGAGGGGAGCAGCAATTTGGTGCCCTTGGCTTTGCAGGGGGGCATCCAAAGGAATCCTGGAGGTGCTTTCCAAAGGATTTGCAGACCTGGTGTGTGTCATACAGGCTGGATTATACACATAGGGAGAGAAATGGCTCGTTAAATAGGATTTCAGCCTTGCCAGCCCACCAGCTGATGTGGGAGATTCCTGGCATGTCCCTGCAATGCCAGCAGGAAACGCTGAGTAAGGGATAATTGCAAACATGTTAAACTCAAAAAATGTTGGTTTTCACTTCAGGTCTGTTGCACATTAACAGGGATGTGGGCAAAATACGCTGAATTCTGTTCCTTGGGAATATAAAACCTCTGGGGCCGGGCTGGGCGTTGCCTTCCTGGCAGCACTGGGTATGCAAAAGCTTTGGGATTGGGCTGGATCCACTCATTGCATTGATCCTGGCACATCAGAAATCCCGTTTCTGTCATCTGATTAGGCAGAGCAGGTTTGATAAGTGGGGTTTTACCTCCCAGTTAGTTGAAGCGGTTTTTTTTTTTCCAAAAGGTTTTTCTTTCACTGCTTAAAATTGTCGTTACCTGCTGAAAACCCATGGGGGGATATATATGTATAACAAAATAAATATATATATAAAATAAATATATATTTTTGGGGGGAGGATTAATACTTTGGGGGAGAGATAAATATGCATTTAAGTGCAAAGCTGTTTATTCTGCAGCCGGATTTAGGGGGCTGGAGTGTGTTTTAGACGGCGTGGGAGCCAGGGGGTCTCTGCCTCCTGCCCTGACACTCCCTGTCCTCGTGCCCTCAGGTTCCACAGCCATGGCCAGGCTCCTGCTCACCTGCCTCTTGGTGGTCCTGCTCCTCGGCATCTGCACCGACGTCGCCTTCTCCAAGAAGGGCAAAGGCAAACCCGGCGGGGGCACGTGGGGCACGGGGAGCCACCGCCAGCCCAGCTACCCCCGCCAGCCCGGCTACCCCCACAACCCGGGCTACCCCCACAACCCCGGCTACCCACACAACCCCGGCTACCCACACAACCCGGGCTACCCCCACAACCCTGGCTACCCAGGCTGGGGCCAGGGCTACAACCCCTCCAGCGGGGGCAGCTACCACAACCAGAAGCCGTGGAAAGCTCCCAAACCCAAGACCAACTTCAAGCACGTGGCGGGGGCGGCGGCGGCGGGCGCCGTGGTGGGGGGGCTGGGGGGCTACGCCATGGGCAAGGCCATGTCGGGGATGCACTATCGCTTCGACAGCCCCGACGAGTACCGCTGGTGGAACGAGAACTCGGCGCGTTACCCCAACCAGGTGTATTACCGCGACTACGGCGGCTACGTCCCGCAGGACGTCTTCGTGGCCGACTGCTTCAACATCACCGTCACCGAGCACAGCATCGGCCCCGCCGCCAAGAAGAACGCCTCGGACGCGGGGCAGGCCGTGAACCAGACGGAGGTGGAGCTGGAGAACAGGGTGGTGACCAAGGTGATCCGGGAGATGTGCATCCAGCAGTACCGCGAGTACCGCCTGGCCAACGGCATCCGGCTGCACCTCGCCGACGCCTCACTCGCCGCCCTCCTGCTCCTCGTCCTCTTCGCCATGCACTGATGGATCCCGGGATCCCACGGCTTTGAGATGTCACCCGTGGCCCCGTGGGGACCCCCCACCCTCCCCGTTCTTGCTTGCGGTCATCGTCGGTGAAGAGCCCTTGGGGCGCGCGGGCGCTGGCGCTCCCCATCACCTCCTTGGGGTTCACTCCATCAGCTCCCTGGGGTTCACCTCCATCAGCTCCCTGGGGTTCACCTCCATCAGCTCCTTGGGGTTCACCTCCATCAGCTCCTTGGGGTTCACGTCCATCAGCTCCTTGGGGTTCACCTCCATCTGCTCCCTGGGGTTCACCTTCATCACCTCCTTGGGGTTCACCTCCATCAGCTCCTTGGGGTTCACCTCCATCAGCTCCCTGGGGTTCACCTCCATCAGCTCCTTGGGGTTCACCTCCATCAGCTCCTTGGGGTTCACCTCCATCAGCTCCCTGGGGTTCACCTCCATCAGCTCCCTGGGGTTCACCTCCATCACCTCCTTGGGGTTTACCCCCATCGCTTCCTTGGGGTTGTCTCTGGTTTAGGCAACTGAATGAAAATTTCCTTCTCCGCTCCAAACACGTCCCCAGTGAGGCAGGACAGCTGGATGTACCCCAAAAAACATGGCCTTCACCACCTCCTCCTCCTCGGGGCCACCCCGAGAGGGACCAGGCAGAGGGGACCTCTCCTTGGCATCCTTGCAAGAGCATCTCCAAAAATGCCCTTTGCTAATGAGCAGGGTTTTGTTTAACCCCCTTAGTCCCGCTGCCACCCCTTTCCCTGGGGCACCCAAGCACCTCTATCCCCCAGGACAGGGGCAGATATGGGGTTTTCAAGCAACAAGCTGCCAGGTTGCAATTTGAACCCTTTAATCCTAAAAAAAACCCCCTTCCCCATGTACATATTCCCACACCTTTGCATGCTGCAAAACCCTCCTGCAGCAACACACCAAAATAAAGTCATTCTTTATTCCCCCCTCGGTGAGGCTGGAGCGCCGGTCGGTCTTTCTCAGCCTGCCAAAGGCAAAAAGTGCTGCTGAATGCCCCAAAATACCCCCAAAACGGGGTGTTACAGCCTGAGAAAAAGCTATTTTGGATGCTACAGGTGACAAGTCACGCTCATACTCCAGCGCCTTGACCTAGAGGAAGTTAAAATGCAGCCAAAAGGATGCTCAGGGTGGGTCAAGCACTTAGCAAGAGACTTAAATCAGCTGAATCATAGAGTTACAGCACCAGGAAAAACAAGCCTGGGATGCGAGATGCTTCATAAAAACCACACTTGTGAGTAATTTCTGTGGCACGTGGAAGCAGCAGGTGGAATTCTCGCTTCTCATGAGCCGGGTCGTGGGGGACCCGCAGCATCTGCAATGCTTGTTTGACCCAGTTCTATTTAATATCTCGTGTATTTTTTTTTTTTTTTGCAAGGCACTGAATGACACCGTCCTAAATGAGTTGTTTTTTTTGCATCAGTGTAAGCTAAGTGAAGAAATATAAATATATATATATATATATATACACAGACAAATAGAGAGGAATCTTTCGGGGTACCCACTGGAGAAGCAGGGCTTTGAGGTTCCCCGTACTTTGTGATACGCGGATGTTTTGTAAACCCCTGGCGGCGCATGCTCGGGATCTGCAGTTCTGATACTTTTCTAAGTGTTCTGGTACAGATTAAAACAGATAAAGCCAAGATGCACCATCAGCCTCCTTCCTGGAAACAGCTCTGGGCCCATCCCCCAGAGGCAAAAGCTGCATTTTGCATTTTCCAGCCTATGGGAGCCCTTTGTTCCCATTGGACACCAAATTTGGCCTCAATCCCACAATCTCAGCCCAACAGTCTCAGTTAACCCTTCCCCCTCCCCCTGCTCCCACTAATGGTGTCGCTGAAGTCCAACAAAACATTTTCTAATTTCTGTCTAATTCTAATTTCTGTCTAATAAAAGAGTTTTTACATTTGCTGTTTTGGTGGTGTTAAGCCCGACCCAAGCCCTGCTTAATCATGGAATCCTGGAATGCTTTGGGTTGGAAGGGACTTTAAAGCCCATGCAGTTCCAACCCTCTGCCATGGGCAGGGACATCTTCCACTAGACCAGGCTGCTCCAAGCCCTGTCCAGCCTGGCCTTGGACACTCCCAGGGATCCAGGGGCAGCCACAGCTTCTCTGGCAATTCCAGCCCAGCCTCTCCACACCCTCACAGCCAACAATTCCTTCCCAATATCCCATCTATCCCTGCCCTCTGGCAGTGGAAGCCATTCCCTGTGTCCTGTCCCTCCTTCCCTTGTCCTCAGTCCCCCTCCAGCTCCTGGAGCCCCTTCAGGCCCTGGAAGGGGCTCTCAGGTCTCCCTGGAGCCTTCTCCTCTCCAGGGGAACCCCCCCAGCTCTCCCAGCCTGGCTCCAGAGCAGAGGGGCTCCAGCCCTTGGAGCAGCTCCGGGGCCTCCTCTGGACTCGCTCCAGCAGCTCCAAATCCTTCTGGTGTTGGGGATTCCAGGGCTGGAGCAGCTCTGCAGGTGGGGTCTCACCTGAGGGGGCAGAGGGGCAGAATCCCCCCCTGGCCCTGCTGCCCACACTGCGGGGCCAACCCAGGCTCAATAAAATCAGTCTCAGTGCAATTAATTTCCAGCTTTAATTGCATTTTCCAACCACCACACAACCAGAGGACCCATCCCCCAACAGACCTGGCACTGACGAGCTGCAGCCCAGTGGGTGGATGAAAAATCCCCTAAAATAAGGTAGGAAGAAATGCCCACCCCCACGAAAGAGAAGGGAAAAAAATAGAAATCCCCTAAGACAATGGAAAAAAAAAAATCTCTGTTTTCCAAGGTCAGTACATGGATATTTCCAGGAAGGGGCTGGCAGCACCTGCAGAATGAATTCTCCTCAGGAAGGTTTTGACCTCGGTAGCAGCATTAAAAATGCTAATTTTTAACCCAAACCTCCACATCTTTCCTTCCCCCTCCCAGCACAGGGAAGCTGCTCCAGCCCCCCCAAGCAGGGGAAACACCAACACTGGCAGTAATGAGCTCAAAAATAACATTTCCCCCCTTTGCACACTCAGCACCCAATGCTTCTACCCTTCATGGGGGTATTGGGGTTTGGGTGATTATTGGAGCTGTTTTTTGAGGACACTCAAACAGGATATGGGGACATGGTCTGAACCTTTGTGTCCTTTAAGGACAGCTGGATCCAACAACCCTGGAGCCCTCTTGGCCCCCCAGAATGATCTGTTGAACCAGATTAATTAGCTAAATGCTCCAAATCCTGCGTCATGGGCAGGAGCTGTGCTGCAAAGCCAGGATGGGGAGTGTTTATCAGGATGATAATAACTAAATACAAGCCAAATATAAATACAATAACATTTTGAGCGTTGTTTTTTTTTTTTATACTCTCTTCCAATTCTCTCATCACACGGCGTTTGGCACCCCTAATCTCCACAAATAACATTCCCCATCTCCACAGATAAACATCCCTCATCTCCACAAACGAGCGTCTCCCATCCAGACAAGGTAACGGAATGTATTTCTCCTGCAGGAAAAAAATGCGAAAAGAAGAATTTTGGTGCACAGCTGCACAGTTTGAGGAAAGCTGGGGGAGGAATGGTCTGATTTAGAGCCTTGAAACGCAAAGCGAGAGCCCGAACCTCATCCGGGGTGGTTTGAGCCGTGCCCGGATCCGGGGTCGGGATCGCCGGGCGAACAGCTCCATCTCCCGGCCAGCCCCGGGTCCCGCTCCCCCTGGAATCAGCCCTGGAGTGTTTTACAAGGCTGGAGATCCCAAAGGACACTCCAGAAACCTGGCTGAGCTTTCCAGCTCGCTCTGTTTCAGAGCAAAGTGCATGGAAATGCCTTGATGTAACTGCACATCCCGAGGGATCTTGGAGCCTGGGGAGGCTCAGGAGTAGCCCCGCTGTCCCAGCTGCCATACAACCCCAAAATCCTCAGCATGAGGTGATTCATGAGGCTGTTCATGGCTTTTAAGGCTTTTTTCCTGCAGTGCAGGCCTTTACAGGGGTTGGAAATTAAACTGGGTGGGCACAGGAGTGTATCATGGAATCATGGAATGGTTTGCATTGGAAGGGACCTCATCCAGTGCCACCCCCTGCCATGGGCAGGGACACCTTCCACTAGCCCAGGTTGCTCCAAGCCCCGTCCAACTTGGCCTTGGACACTTCCAGGGATCCAGGGGCAGCCACAGCTTCTCTGGCAATTCCAGCCCAGCCCCTCACCACCCTCACAACCAACAATTCCTTCCCAATATCCCATCTATCCCTGCCCTCTGGCACTGGGAAGCCATTCCCCCTTGTCCTGTCACTCCACGTCCTTGTAGAAAGTCCTTCTTGTGTAAAAATTATCCATCCTCAGGCATTGCATGCCGAGAAAAAGGAGAGAAAAAGCAAGAAAAATTTGGGAATGTCATAATTTAGGAAGTTCAGGATCATCCCTGAAGCATTTCTGAGCTCAGGACTGTGAGCAGAGGATGCTCATGATGGGATGTGGACATTGAAGCATAACCTGGGTCTGGATGCAAAATTGATGCTGGAAAAATGCAAATCTAAGCTGTGGCTGGAGGTTCTGCCGGGGTTGTTGTGTATTTTAAGCAAGAACATTGAAAAAAATAACCCCTCAGTGCATTATAGGAATGGATGGGTTTGTCCAGCCTAAAAGCTGTTCCTAAGCCAGGGGTTACAGTGATTTGGACAAGGTCATGGGCCTTGCATACATTCCCTGCTCCAGAATGCTGTTGAATCCCTCAGGAGCCAAATGACTTCTGTAAAATTTAAGAAAATGTTGTAAAGGAGCCCCAAAAATCAACGTCCATCAGCCAGGGCTCTTTCCACTCCTTGACAGAGGTGAGAGCTGACTGACCTGAGGAGGAGATAAGGATGTTTATACCCCCAAAACATACCAATTCCAAGGAGAGGTGACGCTCTCACAAACATCCATGCTCAAAAATCTTTCAGTGAGGACTTACCTGCTGGAGGATGGGGGTTATACCTGCCCACAAACTTCTTTGGGATTCCAAATTTTTCACTTAGTACCTCCTTATTTTCTTTTCTCGCAGCAGTGGTTGAGCTGCTCAGCTAAACCAGGATTTAGGGAAGGTTTAAGCACCCAGGACAGGGATCAGAGAAGAAATTGCAGCCGCTGGAGGGCAAAACATCCCTCCCTGCTCCTTTTAAGCTCTTTCAAGGGAGGATTTGCATCCTCTCTGCCAAACACCTGAGAGAGGGACAGTCCCAGATCCGTGTGTGTTTTGGGCAGAAGATGCTAAAGATCGGGATATTAAAGATTGGGACTGAGTATGTGAAAGCCCGAGAGACGGGACCGAGGGGGGTTTATCTCCAGGCACCACCTTCACCCACCCCACCCCCCCCCCGCAGCATCCCTTGGAGATGTGGCTCTTCCTGGAGTTGTTCCGGGTGCTAAAGACAAAGGATTTGGTTAAAAACAGAGGATGTTTCAAGGCCAAACTTTATTGCAAGGCAGAGGGGTCCATTTCCAAACCCCACATCCCCCCTCCCCACAAGTCCCAGCGCTCTTTCGGGGGGAAAGGAGCGATTTCTTTGGGAAAGCAGTGCCATGGGAAACCAGAGCCGAGCGCTGGCGGGGCCGCTCCAGCATCGCTCCAGGCGCAGGTATCCCCAGGTCCTTGCAGGGCTGGGTTTGCTCGTGTAGGTGCCTGCACAGACGGGGGTTTCCAGGATCCATCCAGCTCCCAGATGTCCTCGTGAGCACCGGGATGGCTGCCCAGCTCCGGGGAGAAGGGACACTGAGGCAGCCGCGGAGCATCTCTTCCACCTCCCCCAAGCCACATCTAATCTCCCAGGAAAGTTATCCACTAAGAAATCCCGGCGGGCCGGGCCGGCCGGGGGTCCCGAGGTGCCCTCGCCGCGCTCAGCGCTGCAGCCCGTGGCTCGCGAAGCAGGCGGTGAATGCCAAGAGCAGGGCGAGGCCGATGCCGCCGCGGTCCCGGGGGGCTCGGCTGGGGGGTCCCCGCTTGCCCCCCACGTCCGGCCAACTGGCGGCGTGGAAGCCGCCCGCGGGCGGGGGCTGCCGGGCCGCGGGGATGCCGTGACCGAGGCGGGACGGGCGCGGCCGCCCCAGCAGCCCCATCCCGTAGCCCGCGGCGGCCCCGGCCGCGATGGCTCCGGCCACCTTGGAGCCGCGCCCGGGGGTGCCCCCGCCGCGGGACACGGCGCGGAAGCCCCCGCGGAGCCCCCCGGCCCCGCCGCCGCCGCGACCCCCGGCTCTGCCGCCGCCCCCGCGGCGACCGCCGGCCACGTCGCTGAAGAGGGCGAGGAGCAGCATCGCCACCCAGCACCAGCCGTCCAGGGGCCTCATCCTGCCCCACCTGCGAGAGGGGCACAAGGAGGGACGGTGAGCGCGGGGAGATCGCCCGGAGCAGCCCCCGGGCCCGACGGGTCTCGCTCCGAGGCGGTCGCGGGGATCCCGGTCCCCAAAGGGGCTGCAGGGATCCCGACCCGAGGGGTTCGCAGGGATCCCGACCCGAGGGGTTCGCAGGGATCCCGACCCGAGGGGTTCGCAGGGATCCCGACCCAAGGGGTTCGCAGGGATCCCGACCCGAGGGGTTCGCAAGGATCCCGGCTCCCAAAGGGGCTGCAGGGATCCCGACCCGAGGGGTTTGCAGGGATCCCGACCCGAGGGGTTCGCAGGGATCCCCGCTCCGAGTCGTGCCCGGTTCACAGGGATTCCACTCCGAGGGTTCACGGGGATCTCGGCTCCCAAAGGGGTAGCAGGAATCCCGCTCTGAGGGGTTTAGAGGGATCCCGCTCGGAAGGGTTCACAGGGATCCCGCTCCGAGGGATTTGCAGGGCTCCCGTCACCAGGGGCTCGCGGGGATCCCGCTCCCGGAGTTTCTCGGGGATCCCGGCTCCGAGGGGGTCGCGGGGTTTTCCTCAGTCTTGGGCCAACTTACTTATAATATTGTTGATGTATAAATTTTTATACATTTTATATCCCTATATATTTTATATATTATGTATTTTTATTTATATATAAACATGTAATTTTTAGATATCTTATCTATATGTAATTTATCTATTTATCTATATGTTTATCCATTTTATCTATTTATATATTATATTTATTATATATTATAATATTATTACGTATCACATATTATAAAATTGCAATATATGTTGCAAGCGCTGATTCAAAGCTGAAGTGGAGCTCGAGAAAGCGAAATGCATGACTTTTTGGCCCAACTGGAAGCAAAATACAGGAATAATGCTAAGAGTGGAGGAAAGAAACCTGCAGCCAAGAGAAGAAAAGCATAAGGCTGAAACACTAGGTTTCATTTTGTATGGAAACGTGGGTTTGGGAGAATTTCGGATTTTATGTATTCATATATATATATACACGTGTGTAATATTTATATATTTATATAATTATATATTCATATATTTATATATGAATATATATGTATATAACTTCGTGGTTTATGTATTTATATATAAATATAAATACACATAGTATATTACTATATAAAATATATAGTATAAATATAATCTATAATACATAATATACTAACCAATATATATTATACACTAAATTATGTTATCATATTATATATAGTATACAACATGTATTTTATATTTATATTTTATATATTTATATTTAGACATAAACCAATAAATATATTTATATATACTTTATGTTAAGTACACTATATTTATATAGTGTATATATTTATATATTACTATATAAAATATATAGTATAAATATAATCTATAATACATAATATACTAACCAATATATATTATATACTAAATTATGTGTTATATATTATATATTATATTATCTGTCGTATTTAATATATATTTTATATTTATATTTTATATATTTATATTCATATATAAACCAATATATACATTTATATATACTTTATGTTGATTTAAGTACACTATATTTACATAGTGTATATATATATATTACTATATAAAATATAGCGAAGCCTAGCCATGATGATATAAAATATATAGTATAAATATAATCTATAATACATAATATACTAACCAATATATATTATATACTAGATTATGTGTTATATATTATATATTATCCATAGTATTTAATATATATTTTATATTTATATTTTATATATTTATATTTATATATAAACCAATATATACATTTATATATACTTTATGTTGATTTAAGTACACTATATTTATATAGTGTATATATATATATATATTACTATATAAAATATATAGTATAAATATAATCTATAATACATAATATACTAACCAATATATATTATATACTAAATTATGTGTTATATATTATATATTATATTATCTATAGTATATAATATATATTTTATATTTATATTTTATATATTTATATTTTTATATAAACCAATATATACATTTATATATACTTTATGTTGATTTAAGTACACTATACATAGTTAATACACAACTTCTAGTGGAAGGTGTCCCTGCCCCTGGCAGGGGGTTGGACTAGATGGTCTTTAAGGGCCCTCCCAACCCAACCCATTGCACGATTTGATGTATTGTTGTGCGTATTTCCCCTAGTCCATATATTTAACGAACAGGGAGGTGGGCGCCGTGGTGCAAACAAACACTCCCGACTTTCCCACCCCATTCTCACCTTTGTTCTCCCCCCCGCAAACCCCGCGATCCCCCCGCCCCGCAGCCCCCGCAGCCGCCGGCTGAGCAAAGAGCCCCATTGTGGGGAAGCTGCTGAGCCATCGCGGCCCCAAAGGCGGCCCGAAAGCGGCCGGAGCCGCGCTGACAAAAGCCTTTTGAAAAGGCAGAGCCCCCCTGGCCGCACGCCCCGGCCGCGGCTTCCCTGTGTCAGCGATTCCCTGCCCTGCTGGAAGGTGCCAGGCCTGACCACCCCCCGGACCCAGCGCTCCAAACAGTAATATCTGCCTTGATTAACTGAATTTGCCTCCTTTCGCTGCCCTGCTCCTCCAGCCAAAGCGTTGCTTTAAGGAAAGCCCGGAGAAGTGTCCCCTCTCCAGCTGTTTGCAGCTGCCTCACTGCTGGAAACACCACAGAACCGGGCAGCAAACCCCCGACAATTACATACATGGATTTTTCCCTTCCTACTTTCCCTCTCTCTTTATTTCCCCGAATAATATATATATATATATATATATATAATATATATATATCTCCATACTTAGAGGTCACCAAGCAGGGAAAATCCGCCGGCTCCCCATCCCAACATCCAGCTCAGGTGTGGGCTAAACCCCTCCACTTTCCGCCTCGCTCTCTGCCCAATTCCTTCCCTTTTGCCCCCACTCCGTGCCGAGGGTGCCGCCCTTACCCGTGCCCCCGGTGCTGTGCCGGTGATGGCTCTTCCCGTCTGTGCCCGCCGGGCTCGGCTCCCACCGGACTTTTCCCGGCGGATAAACGGGGCCAACGTCACTGGGGAGGGATAATTGGGCTTCAATGGGCTGGAAAACGCCGGGCCAGCGGCTTCGGGGAGGCAGCAAAGCGTGGCTGGGATGACCTGGGGGGTGCAGGAGGACAAAAAAAATTCAATCCATCGGGAGTTTTACCTTGTGGAAGAGAAATACCCAGAGGATGGAGCTCGCCGACCGTGGTGCATGTGGATAAATAGGGATAAATAGTCTCTGAAGGCTGGAAGGGCCCTAAACCAGTCCAATATTACCCCCAAATCCTCCAGCAATGTAGTTGTGAGTCTCCAAATCTGCAGGGCAGGACCATTTCTCCTTGGGAAGCTTCTCCACTGGGACTCAGGCAGGTTTTGCTCTTCTCCCTCATCACTCCCAGCCCCCATGGAACCCATTCCCAAGGTATTTCTATCCACGGATTGCTTTATTTTTGACAAACCAGGCTCCAACTCAGGGGTTTTATTCTGCATTAAGTTGCTACATATTTTATTTTCTTGTTAATCCACGCAGCAATGCCACAATCATCCTTCAAACACATAAAAGGCTCCTCTCGCTGTACAACACTTTCCTGAACACGTGTTAGAGGTGGAAAAGGTACCATTAACACTTAAAAAAAAAAAAATTACAAAGATACATTGCAAAAACTCAAAGGGAGGGAGAAAGTCAGAGTTTTAGTTCACATCGAGGTATAAAATTGATATTGCTGGTTTAGCCTGGGAGGAAAGAGGTTTTTCCAGGTGATGGTGGTAACAGTGCCAGTCTGGTTTCACCAGGATAATGTGCTGGCACCGCTGGAAGATGGATCTGGAAAATAAAACCCTCTTTATTTCTGCCTCCTCCTCCTCCTCCTGTCTCCCTCCCTTTCCATCCAGCATCCCTTGAGATGCCCCCAACTATCCCTGCGAGTGCTATTTGGCATTTACAGCTACCAGAGAGGTTTGACATCACGATTTCCTTAAAAATCCCTAATATTAGTGCAAATTAGAAAGGGGGAGGGAGGGGGTGACGCCACCGGATGCAGGTTTAGGGAACGTGTGGGAAAATGCCGTTTACTCCTGTGCTGTAAATCCACCAGGTCAGGGTTAAACCCCCCAAAATCTCAGTCAACACTCTGGATTTACAACAACTTTCCCATCACCCGCGAATTATTGCAATAGAAATGTGCTTTTCTTAAGGGGGAAAAAAAAAAAAAAGAAAAAAAAAGAGGAATTATAACTGTTGGTGCTCTCCTGCCACCGAGCAGCGGGTCCTCCGTGCGGGTGTCCCCAGACTCAGCCCCAAATTCCTGCTCTGGAACACCTGTAGCCCTCATTGTGCTGCTCATGGATTTCCTCTCTCTCTCTCTTTTTTTTTTTTCCCCCCTGTTTTTCCCTGTGTTTTCCAGGGATTTGAGGTTTTGGCTGAAGCTGCCACCAGCCAGAGCCTTGCTGGGAAGAGCCCCACGTGCCGAGGAGGAACCTCCCGAGGACGCTGCGCAGGTGAAGGCACGGGAGGATGGGCTGGCTCAGAGCTGGAGCGATCCAGGTGGACACCGGGAATGTTCTGGGAATGCTGGGGCTTTGGGATTCGGTACAGTACATCCTACAGGCACATGGCTCTGGTGAAGGGTCTCACATCGCAGTCGGACCTTCCGAGATCTCCTCCAGCCTCTGCTTGATCATCACCCGGAGGATGGTGTACCTGGAGAGGCACAGGACAAGGGGAAGAGGAATTTTCAGCACCGAGCTGGCCAAGAAAACCCTGGAATGACGCAAACCCCAATGGCTCTTGCCCACATCAGGGGTGCAGGGCTGCACAAAGGAATTTCTGGGACCAAACAGCCCCCCAGCAATGCCCTTCCCTCTCACATCCCCCCTCGGTGCCACCAGCCCGACGTACTTTTGCATCAGCTTCTTCACTTCACGATCCTCCTCCTCCTCCAGCTTCTGGATGAAGCTCCTGAGGATGGGCATCTCAAACTTGATGTACTGAGCGACCTGGATGGGAGGGAAACGGCAAGAAAGGTGATGAAGAGGGAGATGAACCGACCCTGCGAGGCCGAAGGCAGCGTCCTCTCCCTGGATTTTAGTCAAGGATTCCCCAGTTTTTGCAAGAATCCTAAAAAAAAGGGATGTTTCCTCTGCTCAGTGTGAACATTAACTTGTGCAAATGAGTAAGTGCTGAATAATTATTGGGAAAATCTCTCCCCCCTCTCCATTTATTAATTAATTAATTTATTTTTATTTATCTATTTTAATTTACCCACTGGCTGGAAGACGTGGCTCGATCAGTCAGAGCCCTGAGCATCCCCAGCGTCGCAGAGAGCCGATTTAAGCCCAAATATACCCCAAAAGTGCCTCGTTTGAGCTCGGATTTCGGAGCAGAGCAGCCCTGGGAAGCCGGCAGATGGCACAGTGGAGCTTTCCCGGTTGGAAAAACATCAATTCCGCACAGGCTGCGCTGAAATCGCTCTCCCGTGAGCAGATTCGGGATGACACAATAGGGCCGGGGGCGTTGGCTCTGGGTTGGAATTGGAAGCTGCTCTATGAGCACAAAACGAGGCTTTTCCCATAAAATGGGGAGTTTTCACGGCAAGATGCGGGAGCAAAGCAATTCCTGCAGTCCCAGCACATGGAGACATCCATTCATCGGGAGGAAATTCTTCCCTGGAAGGGTGGTCACAAGCTGGGATGGAATTCCCGGAGAAGATGTGGCTGCCCCTGGATCCCTGGAAGTGTCCAAGGGCAGAGCAACCTGGTCTGGTGGAAGGTGTCCCTGCCTATGGCAGGGGGTGGAATGGGATGAGCTTTAAGGTCTCTCCAACCTAAACCATTCCATGATTCCATGATTCTATGAGAAGGCAGCAGACCCAGCCTGCCTGCAATCTCCTCAACCCCAAAACACAGCCCTTCCTAAGAAAAAAAATCCAGTGATGTCAATGTTGGAGCAAGTCCAGAGGAGGCCCCGGAGCTGCTCCAAGGGCTGGAACCCCTCTGCTCTGGAACCAGGCTGGGAGAGCTGGGGGGGTTCCCCTGGAGAGGAGAAGGCTCCAGGGAGACCTGAGAGCCCTTTCCAGGGTCTAAAGGGGCTCCAGAGCTGGAGAGGGACTTGGGATAAGGGATGGAGGGACAGGACAAGGGGGAATGGCTTCCCAGTGCCAGAGGGCAGGGTTGGATGGGATATTGGGAAGGAATTGTTGGCTGTGAGAGTGGGGAGGGGCTGGGCTGGAATTGCCAGAGAAGCTGTGGCTGCCCCTGGATCCCTGGGGGTGTCCAAGGCCAGGTTGGACAGGGCTTGGAGCAGCCTGGTCTAGTGGAAGGTGTCCCTGCCCATGGCAGGGGGTGGATGGGCTTTAAAGTCCCTTCCAACCCAAACCACTCCATGACTCCGTGATCCCCCAGTTTTCCCAAAACCCCCCAGGGGCGACAACCCCCCCGTGCCGGCTCACTCACGTCGTAGGTGACCTCCTCCACCTGGTCCTTCTCCATGAGGAAAACCTTGGAGACCTGCTCGCAGGGGCCCTGCAGCACACGGGCGAGCAGGGGGTAGTCGCTGCCCCGCAGCTTCTGCTTCTCTGCAAGGCCAAAACCCCGGGGTTGGGCCCGGCACTCGGGGGGCACTGCCCAGGACAAGGGGGGCACTGCCTGGGACACGGGGGCACTGCCCAGGATATGGGGGCACTGCCCAGGACATGGGGGCACTGCCTGGGACATGGGGGCACTGCCCAGGACATGGGGGCACTGCCCAGGACAGGGGGGGCACTGCCCAGGACATGGGGGCACTGCCCGGGACATGGGGGCACTGCCCAGGACAAGGGGGGCACTGCCCAGAACAGGGGGGGCACTGCCCAGGACATGGGGGCACTGCCTGGGACAGAGGGGGCACTGTCTGGGACACGAGGGCACTGCCCAGGACATGGGGTCACTGCCCAGGACAGGGGGGCACTGCCCAGGACATGGGGGCACTGCCCAGGACATGGGGGGCACTGCCCAGGACATGGGGGGGCACTGCCCAGGACATGGGGGCACTGCCCAGGACATGGGGGCACTGCCCAGGACAAGGGGGGCACTGCCCAGGACATGGGGGCACTGCCCAGGACATGGGGGGCACTGCCCAGGACATGGGGGCACTGCCCAGGACAAGGGGGGCACTGCCCAGGACAGGGGGGCACTGCCCAGCACTCAGGGGGTACTGCCCAGGACATGGGGGGCACTGCCCAGGACATGGGGGGCACTGCCCAGGACAAGGGGGGCACTGCCTGGGACACGGGGGCACTGCCCAGCACTCAGGGGGCACTGCTCAGGACACGGGGGGCACTGCCTGGGACACGGGGGGCACTGCCCAGCACTCGGGGCACTGCCTGACTGAACCAGGGTGGCACCGGGGAGAATTTGGGCCACTCACCTCCGCTGGTGTGGACGATGTACAGAGCAAACTCCTCCGCCGAGTTTTCGATCTGGGGACACACAAATCACTGTCAAATGTCCAGGTTTTACCCCAGGCCTTCCAAGGAATTATAAACAAACCCCACTATTTTGCTGTGCTGTTGTATTTTATGTATAAATCTGTTTATATATAAATACATGTTATATGTAATTAATGAAATATATAAAATATTTATACATTAATACAATGAATTAATTACAGCAGGAAACAAATTAATACAGTATTTTAATGTAACATTGTATATAACTGCATATATGTCAGACATTTTTATATATATACATAGATAAATACATATATATAATTATTAAAATTAATATAATGATATATAGTGTGTGTTATATATACTAATATACTAATATAAATGTTATATATATAGTATATATACTATACCATATATAGTATATACAGTATATATATAATGTCTATATATATAATGTCCATATATATACTATATATATGTATATATAGTGTATATATATATACAGTATATATATAGTACATATATAGTATATATAGTGTATATGTATATATGTATGTATATACTATACATATAAATACTAATATACTATACATAATACATATAACATATAATATACTACATATAATATAGTATACACAATATACTATATATAATTGATATAATATTATATACTACATAATTATTATAATTAAAATATTTAAAATATATAAATATATTTACAAATAGATTTATTTGTAAATATATATTCATATATAGATCAATATCTTAAAATTATTATAATCAATATAATGTTATATAATGTTAAATATTATATAGCATATATGATATATAATATATTTAATATAATGAAAATATTTTAAAAATACATATTTTATATCCGTAAAATCCCCACGCAGAGCAATCCAGGAGCCTCGGGGGGGACAGTGAACGCACCTTGAATTTGTTGAGCAGCAGTTTGAGGACCTGGGGGGTGGTCATGGTGCTGTTGATGCGCACGTTGGTGACGGAGCCGTAGGCTGGAGTGAACACGGACGTCTGCGGGACACGAATCGCGGTGAAACCCCTCCCTGGGGCTGCCCCGCTCCGCCGGGCCGGGCTGTGGGGCCGGGCTGTGGGGCTGTGGGGCCGGACTGTGGGGCCGGGATGTGGGGCTGTGGGGCAGGGATGTGGGGCCGGGCTGTGGGGCTGTGGGGTTGGGCTGTGGGGCTGTGGGGCTGTGGGGTCGGGCTGTGTGCCGGGATGTGGGGCCGGGATTTGGGGCCGGGCTGTGGGCTTGTGTGGCTGGGCGGGGGGCCGGGATGTGGTGGGCGGATGTGGGGCTGTGGGGGCAGGGATGTGGGGCCGGGCTGTGGAGCTGTGGGGCCGGGCTATGGGGCCGGGTTGTGGGGCTGTGGGGCTGTGGGGCTGGGATGTGGGGCCGGGCTGTGGGGCCGGGCTGTGTGGTTTGGCTGTGGAGCTGTGGGGCCGGGCTGTGGGGCTGTGGGGCCGGGCTGTGGGTCCGGGCTCACCTTGTGGTTGTAGAAGTGCCCGTTGATGGAGAAGCGGTGCCGGCGGATCCGCCGCTGCTCCCCGGCCGTCCGGGCGCTGCCGCGGGGCCGCACCCCGACATCGCTCCGCGTCCGCATCAGCTGCGGGGCCTCCTCGGCCGCGGGCCTGGGGGCTGGGAGACATCCCGGGCAGCCGGCTGAGCACCCCCGGGCCCGCTCCGACACTCCCGGAGTGCCTGGACACCGCCCCGGGCACAGGGAGGGATCGCTGGGTGTCTGAGCCGGGCCGGGAGCGGGATCCGTGACCCCTGGGGGTCCCTTCCCACTGAGGATAGTCTGTGATTCCAGAATCTTTCTGCTGCTGAGAGTCTTCCCACGGATGCAGAAATCCCCATCCCAGGAACCCAGCCCTATAAACTTCCCAAGAACCCAGCTCTACAGACATCCCAGCACACATTGAACCCCCCAGTTTAAACCACAGCAACTGGTTTATTCTCCCCCAGCTCCTGAAGGAGGTGATTGATTCCTGAATCTTCCTGCTGCTGGGAGTCCCCCCAAGGGTGCAGAAATCCCCATCCCAGGAACCCAGCCCTATAAACTTCCCAGAACACATTTAACCCCCCAGTTTAAAGCACAGCAACTGGTTTATTCTCCTCCAGCTCCTGAAGGAGGTGATTAATTCACAATTAACTGCCTAAATCCGTCCTGTTACCTGGCTAAAACCTCTTCTCCTGGGAGCTTGAGCATCTTCCCTGCCTTTTCCATAGTTTAACTTTCTCTTTTCTCCCTCCCTTTAATGAGAACAGGCAAACAAGGGCAGTGCCTCAGATCTCTGCATGAAAACTGGCCTGGATCCAAATTATTATAAACCAGCTCTTCATCCATTTTTAATGAACCTCTTGGGCTCCAGCTTTGGATGTTTTAATTCAAAGCATGTCTGCAGCAGGGAAAAATCTCTGGGACACGCTGCTCCAGATGCACACACGGTGACTAAGCACTCCTGAGGAGCCAGGAACGCACACTGGGAGCTGAGTTTTACTGGATTTTAGGGAAAAATGTAATACAAGGCTTTTTTATGTGCTGGCAAATTAAGGTCATAAGGCTGAGAGAGCTGCTGGGCAATTGCAGTGGGGTGATGTGGGGTGGCAATCACCCAGGAAAGCTTTGATTAAAGGAGGAAAAGCATCATGAGTGGGAAGATCAAAAAGAAAAAAGGGAAAAAGCTGGAGGATCGGGGATGAGGGTTCATGGATCAGCGAGTTTTGCAAGGGCTCAGCTCCTCCCTGATGTGGGATGTGGATGAGCACCTCAAAGTCAAAAGGATGAGTTGGTTCTTCTCTACCGCCTGTCAAAAATTACCCCCAAAAGCCAGAACATCAGAACGCCCGGAATGAGTGAGGAAAATGCCTGAAGCAGGTTTTTCCCTGTGGGAATTCCAGTTTGTGTCCCGTTCCTCGCTGTCCCTGCTCAGAACAAGGGGTTAATGAAGCGCTGGCCGAGCTCTTCCCCCTCCACAGAGGAAAAACCAGGGAGGGGACAAACACTTTGCAGCTCTGTTGACTTCCCCTGGTAACGGCGCTTCCCAATGCTCCCATTCCCAGTGCTCCCATTCTTCTTCCCCAGGAGCGGAGCCTCCGGGAAGGGGAAGCGCTGACATCCTTTTCCCTGCTATCCCACGGGGCTCTTTGCTCCATCCCCCCGATTTCTTTCCAAGCTCTTCTCCACCACATCCCACTGAGCAAAAACCCTTGGGAATCGTGGAATCATTTAGGTAGGAAAAAAAATCTTTAAATCATTGAGTTTTGGGCCATATGGGGCTAAGATTAAACAAAATAAACAGAAGTTCTTTGGAAGTGGCTTAAAGGAACCTGGAGCAGGACGGGAAACAGTCTGGAGTTAAAACCAAGCCTGGTTTGTATTTTCTCAAGTTAAACTGAGGCAGCTGCTCCCAAGCTCCTGGATAAATCCAGGTGGATCCAAGCCCGGCTCACCTGTGCCATTCCCGGGAGCCTCCGTGTTGGGTGTGGCCTCTGCATCCGTCACCTGGATGTCGGGCAGGGTGCTGGGCTTCAGCACGGACCTGGCAGTGGGCAAAGGTGAGGGGGGGGCCCTGTCAGCGTGTGGCTGCAGAGGGAATGATAATCCAGGGAATCTCCACCCTCCCTGAGCTTCCCACCTGGGAAGCTGCCTGTTCTCCCTGTGGATTTAGCAGGTAACCAGCCCTGCAGGGTCACAGCACGGGCTGGTTGCAATATAAATCCTGAATCCTATCCTGCCCCACTCCCAAAAAATCCTTGGAGGGTGTTATCCCAACTGCCCTCTTCCCAGGAAGGCATGCTGAGGTGCCAAACGGTATTTTCCTGACTCCAGCACAGGGAAAGCTGAACCTGACCCTTCTTTCCCTTGGGAGATGTCTACAAAATCAGGGAAAAAGCAGGAAGACCCTCCCCCTCTGCACAGACACAGCAAATCCCAGCTCTGCTGCTTTCCAGGATCCCCCGGGATCACTGGGACCAGAGCAGCAGCCAGCACGGAATTAGGGATGGGAGTGAGAACCAGGTGGGATCTGGGGGGATTCCTGCAGGAAAAGAGGGGTCCTGAAGGGGAGTCCCTGCAAAGGGGGGGCTGCAAGAGCAGGGGCTGCAAAAGGGGGGTGTTGGCAGAGGGGTTACAAAAGGGGGAATGTTTGCAAAAAGTGGGACAGAAAGGAGGGGTCTCATCAAAAAGGGGGGTTTAGCAAAAATTAGGGGTTTGCAAAAGAGGGGGGTCTTCGCAAGGGGGGAGTTTTCGAAGGGGGGGTTGCAAAAAGGGGGGGGGGTTGTTTCTTTTTTAAACAAAAGGAGGGGTCTTAGCAAAGGAGGGGGTCCTTTGCAAAAAAGGGGGGATTGTAGAAGGGGGGTTAAAAAAGGGGGTTTCATCAAAAGAGGGAGGTCTTTGAAAAAAGGGAGCATTGCAAAAAGGGGGATTTTGGCAGAAGGGGGTGTTTGCAAAAGAGAGTTTGAAAAAAAAGGGGTGCAAAAAGTGGTAGATTTGCAAAAAAGTGGGGGTTGTAAAAAGGGAGGAGCTGAAAAATGGGTTTTTTTTTTCCTTTTGAAACTAAATGGGGGATCTTGGTAAAAGAGAGGGGGTCTTTGCAAAAAGAGGGGTGCAAAAAAAAGGGGGTGTAAAAAGGGCATTCAGTAAAAGAAGGGGTTTTTAAAAAAAGAGGGGGTGAGAAAAGTGGGAGATTTGCAAAAAAGGGTGGTTTGTAAAAAGGGGGGTGCAAAAAGGAGGATTTAAGTAAAAGAGGGGAGTCTGAAAAAAGGGGAGGTTGCAAAAAGGGGGGTTTTAGCAAAGGGGGGTGTCTGCAAAAGAGGGGTCGTAGCAGAAGGGGGAGCTTTACGAAAGGGGAGTTCTGCAAAATGGGGGGTGCAAAAGAGGGAGGTCTTTGCAAAAGGGAGGTCAAAAAAATTGGGGGTCTTTGTAAAGGGGGGGGACTTTTCAAAGCAAACCCCCCCTCCTTTATTTCTGACTTGGCTCCTTGCAGGTGTTGCCCAGAGACAGCAAAAGGGGGTGAACCAGCGAATCCCGACAGCCCTGAGGGGGTTTTTGGGGGTGATCTTGGGGTGTTGTTGTCTCCCCCAGCCCCAGCTCACCCGTGGGCTCCCAGGTTGCAGCCGGAGTGCCAGGAGGAGGAGGAGGGGGGCGGGCGGATGCGCTGGTTGTCGTCCTGCATCTGGAGGCGGATCGGGCGCCGCAGCCCCCAGGAGATGTTCAGCAGCCCCTCCACGATGAGCTCCCCTTCCTCCTGCATCCCAAAAAACACCCAGGAACGTGGCATTGGAATTTATGAACTTTAAGTCCCCTTCACGCCCAAACCATTCAGTGATTCTGCGATTAAAAGGCGTTTTTTGGACCCCCCAAATCCACCCAGTCTCACCCTGGGAAGGCCGTGGGGCAGATCCTCCTGGAAACTCTGAGAAGGCACGTGGAAAATAAGGATTGGTGACAGCCAGCATGGCTTCCCTGGGACAAATCATGCCTGGAAAACTTGGTGGCCTTCCAGGATGAGGCTACAGCACTGGGGGGTGAGGGAAGGGCAGCATTTACCTGGGCTTGGGCAAAGCATTTGACAGGGAATCATGACATGGAATCGTGGGATGGTTTGGTTTGGAAGGGACCTTAAAGACCAGTCAGGGAATTCCTTCTCCATTCAACAAATCCAGTCTCTCCAGTTTAGAGAGAAGATCCAAGGCCAGGTTGGACGGGGCTTGGAGCAACCTGGGCCTGTGGAAGGTGTCCCTGCCCATGGCAGGGGGTGGCACTGGATGGGCTTTGAGGTCCCTCCCAGCCCAAACCATTCCACGATTCCATGACTCCCTAAGCCCGAACCAAGCCCAGTTCCCTTGGTTTCCCTCTGCCTGGGCCGTTCTCACCTCCCGGTGCCGCAGCTGCAGGTTCTGCCCTTCGTAGTAGATGTTGTAGGTCTTCAGGTGCAGGAGCAGCTCATTTCTGGGGGAAAAAACGTGGGAAAGATGCTGAGAAGAGGTTTGGAGGAAGGAGAGGAGATGCTGCAGGCACCACCCACTGACTCCTGAGCTGGATGGGGAGGGAATTTTGAGGATCTGGGAGAAAGCAGGGATTGCTTTCCTGGTTGAAGAACCTGCTACGCTGCTGGGGGACCCAAAAATAGCTGAATTTGAGGCAAATTTGGCTCTTCTGGCACCTCTAGACCTCCCTTGTTGAAGGTATTGGCTGTGGGTTCAATCCACAGCGAGGGGGAGAAGCTCCCTGTGATCGTGTCCCCCATAAATTTCCCAAAGAGATGCAGGAAAACCCATCAGACCTCGGGGCAGTTGGTCACAAGGCTGAAAAACAAACCCATTTTCGGGGCCCCCAAGCCCTGGGGTCACGTGGAATCACAAGTTCTCACAGGCTGGTTTATCACGTTGGCTCCGGGCGCCAGAGCCCGACCTCGAGCTCAGAATCAAAGTCTGAGCCTTGTTCTGGTGGCAAAGTAATCATAAAAATAAAAATAAAGGCAGAAACAAAGTTTAAAAGATAAAATACGAAGATAAAGATGAAAATAAAAATTTAAAATTATAAATAAAAATCACTGAAAAGATAAAAATAAGCCATCCCCAGCTGGCAAACCCAGCCAGGATAGTGATGGCAGGGTAGTGATGCCCCTGGCATGAATTCCCAGAGCTGGGCTGGCTGGTGGAGGTTCAGGATGCTCAGCACCACCAGACCATCATAAACAAGCACAAATCCACGGGGATTTGGGGTTATCAGGAGGCAAAAAGGAGGGGGGAATATCACAAATTTGCTTTAGCTCCTCCAAAATCTTCCCTGAAACTTAAGAACCATTTTACTTCTTTTTCAAAGAATAAAAGAACAGTTTTTAATCAGGACTTCTTCAGCAAAACCTGTTTTTTTTTAAGAAAGTTTATCGAGCATTTGGTCACACCCCCAAGGAAAAGTTCAAAATCCCATCAACAACCCTTTTTATTTAAGAAAAATCACCATTTCTTGCCCCAGAATGGTTTTTTCCTTCCAAATCCAACTGAACTGAGTTAAATCCCAGGGTCACTCCATTCTTCCAGCTCGATGGAATATTATATATTATAGGTCATAGATAACATGGTATAGGTCATAAATAATATATTATATATTGCATTTATAGTATTATATATTCTTATATAACATTATATATATGTAACATTATGTATTGTTATAATATTATATATAGTTATACATTACATTTTTAGATTATACATTGTATATTATATTACATTATACATTGTATATTATATTACATATTATAGATAATACATACATATAATATACAGGTAGAATAAATCAATATACTATAATATATTATAATATACCATACTCTGCTATATATAATATAATATAATACAATATATAATATATATTATATATTATAGAATATATGTTCATTCTATATAAAAATATATAATCAATATATATAAAATATATACACTATATAAATATATAAATAAAGATATTAATTATATGTATATGTGTGTGTGTGTATATATATATGTATGTGTGTATATATATATATAATATATATATATGTATGTGTGTGTGTGTATATATATATAAAATGAATATATATTTCCCCTGGAACATTCCAAACAAGCCCCCCAGCTCCCAGCTCCTCCAGTATTCCTGAATTCCAGCCCTGTTGAGCCTCTTACTTGGAGATGAATTTATCTTTCCCGCAGGGAACCAGGTCCTCTCCACCTCCGAAATCCATCCCCCCACACTTCTGTCATGGGAGCTGAGCTGGAGAGAGGGAGGAGAGAGGAACATCAGTGGGAGCCCCCCCATTCCCACACCCCTGACCCCCATCCAGGGAAAAGTGAGAGAAAATAAAGCCCCTGGGTCTGGCAGAGCTCCTGGGAAAAGGCTCCAGAGGACACAGATGTGCAGTTTGATGTGGCTTCTCCGGGGAAGATGATGGGAAAGGAGGGAGATCAGATAAGGGAGAGGAGCCACAAACTCACTGAAAATTTAATCCCGGTGGATTCACTTACATGGAATTTGCATCTGGAGCATCCATGGATGTCCCCGTGATGCCAAACAAGGAGGTGGGAGGGTTATAAGTGGGAGTTGCTCCTTTCCTGTATTTATTTTACTATTATTTTATTCTGCAGGGCTTTGGGCACTGAAGTCTGGATCTGGCTGCTGCTTCCCTGTGCCATCCCAAACCCGGTGGTGGCACAGGGGATGATTTTCCAAGCAGCCAGAGAGGTTGGGCTGGTCCTTCAGGGGGTTTTTTAACGCTGCCAGTTGGATTTTTGTGCCAAAACAGCTCCATTGCTCTTGTGCAAAACACTTGGAAAGTCCCATAAAAATCCCGCCTTGGGATTTGCCCTGGCTTAGATCTCCAGAGTGATTTTTGGACACAACGAAGGGGAATTAAAATGGGCTTCGGGATGAAGACCTTGGAGCACTTGTGGACTCAGAGCGCTGTGGAAATGGGGCACCAGAGAGACCTTGAAATGCAGCATTGGGGCAGTTTTGAATGATAAAAAAGGGCTTCTCAGGCTGTGCTTTTCCTTGGATGTTTGTGCCACCTCCCCCACAGAGGGGCTTCCCTTTCTCCAGGGTCTCTCCACTCCCTTCCCTTGTCCCGAAAGAGAAATCGAGGCGAGGAAAAAAGCCTTTACTCTGCAAACCCCTGTTTTCTTCCACCTCCCACATCCCCATGTGCTTCCTCCCAGTCCCCTGGGAAACAAACCCCTTTTCCTGCAAGGAAAACACACAACCCCACAACAAATGCAGGCGGAGAAATGGCTCAGCCAAGGCCGTGTGGTAAAACCTGTGTCGGAGGATGAACCTGCCCCTAAAACCAGCAGCAATCCTGGAGTCGGGATAAATTCCAGCGTATAAATGATTGGCAATGACAAAAGATATTCCCTGACGTGTTTCAAACCCCAGAAGAGGCTGCAAAGGCCACGCTGGAGGTGGGGCAGGAGGGGAAGGGCAGGAAGCTGCTCCGGAGAAAAAGCAGAAGAGAAACTCAGCACTGAAAAATCGCACAGGGCAGTGGAAGGGCTGACAGAGCTTTGGGTTTCCTGAGGAGCCACAGGAGAACCCCGGGAAAACCTGGCAAAACCTGGCCAAACCCTCCTCCTGTGGTTGGCAGCCACCTCTCCACATCCATCCATCCTCCCACAGGGAATAAACCCAGCAATAATCCTATTTATCCCTCAGAAATGAGAGTGGGAAGGGATTTTGCAGCTGGCTTCAAGGTTTTGGGACAAATGTCAGTGCTTGTGGGGACCCAAATTTGGGGTTCAGCACCTGTGAGATGCAGGAATGGCAGGAATGAGGATCTCAGGGGTGTCCCCTGACAGCGGATGGCAAAGCTCTGGAGATGTCCCGGTAGGCTTAAAGGACAGAGCTGTTGGCTCATGCAAAAACGGTGCCAGAAATATCCAAGTGGCTGAAAAAAAAAAAAACAGTGGCTGAAAAAAACCTCCTACAGCAGCACAGCCCCAGGTGGAGCCTTTGGTATCACAGGGAGGTTCACTCTGGAGCATCACAGCAATGCAAAGGGGTAAAGCCAAATCCCTGGATCATTGAAGGGGACATGGGGTGAACTCCAGCCATAAAAAAAGCACATTTTGGGGTGGAAGGGGAGCTCCAAAAGGCAGGTTCATCCTCCTGTGCTGAGGATCCTGTTTCCTGTTTACGCCCCGGCGCTGCCACCTTCGCCTCCGTCATCACATCCCCTTCCGAGCAGCAGGAAAGGGGCAAATTCTTCCTTTTTTGGGTCTGGAGAAGCTCTGGGTGGTGGGTGGAGGGGAACAGAGGCCCAGCCAGAGAGCAGCCACTGCCGAGCCCCCAGTATTCCTCCACAGCTTTGGCAAAAGGCTGGAAATGAGCCCAGCAGAAGGGCTGGCAAAGTGCAAGTTGCCCAATTGCCCGGCCAGGGCAGCTCAGCCCCGGCCCTGCTGGGCCTCAGTTTCCCCACCCTGAGCTGACGCATTTCCCCCGTCCCTGCCCAGGCTGAGCTTCTGCTGAGGCCTCACAAAGTGCTTTTAAACCACCAGCAGATAAATCAATGCCCTGCCCCCGTGGCAGGAGGATTTCAGCCCTCTCTGCCTTCCAGCACCAGCTGCTCCTGCCAGTGCTTTCAGGCACGGCCCACCCCACGGCCCCCAGACTTGTTCCACTCCCTAAAAATTACCTCCCTAAGCCCCTTCCCTCATCCCTACAGCCCCAAGTGCCCCGTGGGGCAGAGGGAGACTGGTCATGCTCCCAGCCCCTCACGTGGAGAAGGGATGAGCTCTCACTTTTGCCAAGCTCCCAGGGAGATTCACAACTCAAACACAACAACAAAACAAGGGGAAAAGTAGGAACCCCCCCCCTCAATATTGTGTTTTTTAGCAGGAGAGGGATGTTCGATCCTGCTCCTGCAAAGAAATCAGCATTTTGGGGGGGTGGGGGTGCTGTCTTGGTCCCCCCCGGCAGCGCACGGAAGCTTTGGCTGCATCCCCGGCCGATCCCGCCGAGGCGGATTTGGCGCAGCTGAGGCTCCCCCCGGCCGTGCGAGGGATTGTGGGAATATCCCTGTCCCCGGGGAGGCCACGATATTCCCTCCTGCACAAACGCCGCCGCGTCCCCGCAGCCCAGGGCGGCTTTTACCCGGCCCAAGGGCGCTTCGATCCCGCCGCGATCGGTAGCAAAGCATCATCCGAAGGCGACAATTCCTCCCGGGAGCCTCCACCAGGCTCTGCTCGGCAGTACGATGGGATACGATGGGATACGATGGGATACGACGGGATAGGACAGGACACGACACGGCCGAGCGCTCACCCCGTCCCGCTGATCCTCCCTGTGCTGGCGCTGGGGGCTCCGGCTCAGGCGCTACTCCGGGGCTGGGATCCCTTCCCCGCGTCCGTCCCGCATCCCTACGCGCCAAGGTGCGGCAGCTCCATTGTTTTCCAGCGCCGCTATTGTTCTCCAGCCCAATTGCTCCGTCCTGGAAGGGGAAAGGGGGAAAAGGAGGGGAGCGCTGAGCGCTGGCACAGCCGGCGGTGCAGCCGGGGTGGGGGGGCACTCGGGGACGGGCGAGGGACCCATCGCACACTCAGCAGGTCGGACTTCTCCGGCTGGAGCCGGTGGCCACCAAGGGCTTGTCCTGGGCTACCGACCCGCAGCGGGCGGGTCCCGGCGGTGCCGCGGCGAAGGTGCCGTGCCCGGGGTGGGACCCGCGGGCGCTGCGGCTCCGGCGGCCCCAGCACGGAGGGGGATTGCGAGAGTGCGCGGAGGATGCCGAGGTGTCACCCCGGGGTTTGGGGGCCGGATACGCCCCCGCTCCCCGCGGCGAGCGCGGCTTTCACCTCCTCCGCTCAGCCCCCGGGCCGCTCCCCGCGGGACAGGGATGGGGATGGGGATGGAGGACGGGATGGGGATGAGGATGAGCGTGGAGACGCCCCATCCCAGCCGCACTCACCCGGTGCCGGTGCCGGTCCCGCTCCGCAGCCGGTGCCCCCCAAGGGCCGCCCCTGGGCGGGGCGGGGCGGGACGCGACGGGGAGGGGCGCGGGCGGGGCCGCGGGGGTGGGAGCGCGGGGGACACCCCCCCTCCGGCTCCAGGGTCATCCCGGAACCTGGATCCCAAGGGACAGCCCGGTTCCGGGATCCCTTTCCGGGGACCAGGACTGGTGAACCCAAAGGATTCAGGCGCCCGGTTTGTTCCCGCGCGGACCGGAATCCCTAAGGATGCTCCGTCCCGCATCCCTGGTTCAGGCTCTGGGTTCTCAAAGGACGCGTTTCTGGTACCTGGGTTGCGCTCCAAGACCAGGATCCCAAAGGATGCTCCATCCCCGCTGCCAGGAGCAGGATTCCAAATGAATCCCCATCCCACGCATCCAGGCTGGAAACGCTCTTACAGAGCTCCAGCTCTATGCAGAATTCCCAGAAGGAGCCTTGTGGGCTGTATCACGCAGGCTAAAGTGGTTATTTCTGCCTTAAAATGCCCTCAGCCCCGGGTTATCCAGTGCCAGCGCCAGGCAGGCATCACCCTTCGCAGTTCTGCCGTCGGGACGGAGCGATGGAGCCGTGCACTGGTTCCCAGCCACGGCCGTGGGATCCCCTCTGGATCCAAAACTACCCCCGGGAAAGGGATTGGGGAGGAAAAAAATTGAAATAAAATCTGCCTGGAAGCAGCTGTTGCAGCTGGGAGTCAAAGTTACCTCTGAACTGGTGCTCAGCATTCCCGGGATGGGGGTCCCATCCTGCCCATCCGGCCCTGACACCGCGGGGGCACGTCGGGGGAGTTTGGGGGTATTCAGTATTCCAGAGGAGCAGTGGCCATGTCCCTCCTCCTTTGTCTGCTCCTGACCTTTCCCAGTGCCGTGTGGCTTCTCTGGGCTTTTTTTTCTTTTGAAGGAATTTGCCTAGAAACAGCCCACACGAAGGGGAAAAAAAATCCCAAAACAAAGAAATAATCTAAGCAGCTGCTTGAGCCAAACAGGCGTCTCTGCAGGCATGGGCTGCAATCAGCCTTTTTTCCCCCCGTTTTCTTGGATTTGTATGTAAAACATGAGAAGTTCTGGAGGAGCCATCTGGCTTGAGGAAGCACTGACTCAGTAAAAGTGAGCCAGGCTGGTCGGGATTGATATTCCAGCAGCATCTCGGGGCTGGCGGGATCAGAGGCCCTTTGTCGTGGGAAGAGCCCGGCCAGGCTCACAATGGAGCAGAGCCAGCCCTGGCCCCAAACCCCAGGGATTTCACCCCAAAGAGAGGCTTCTACCGACCCTCAGCTTGTGGGCTGGGTGCACAGGGAGGGAAAAGTAAAAATAAACAGAGGGTTTGGAGTGGGCACCTGTGGGAGCACAGGGGGATCTGGCTGCAAACTTGGGTTAAATCCTGATTTTGTGACGTGCTGTGGTGGGTTGGGAAGGCTCGAGCCTGGATGGAGGGATTTAGTTATCAAGGACAAGGAATTTGACCCGTTCCTGCTGTGTGGACACCCTGCAGTGTGAGAGGCTGGGCCAGGCTGGCAGTGCCTCCTTATCCACAGACGAGCATGAGACAGATCCATGAGGAACCAAATACATGTGGAACCAAATCCACATGGAAGAGACCAAAGCTTCCATCCCCCCAGAGCCTGAGCATAACTCCAGACTGCTGAAAATCTCCCACGAAAAGCCAAACAGGGATGCTACAGCACCTATTCTGCAGGTGAATTCCTTGAATCCTGAATTTCTGTGCCAAATGCCACACAGGGATCGCAGCTGATGCCTTTTAAACTGTCATCTTGGATGGATTTGCTCCCACCAAGGACCTCAGTCAGGCCTCATCAGCATGAAGCACCAGCTCCAAAACTCTCCCAGATTTCAGTTGTTTCCTCCCAGACTGAGCAAACACCCAAAATCCCTTCCTTGCTACCTTGGCAGCTTCCCATTATTTCAGCTTTCAGCCCCCCGCGCTGATCGCCAGTAAACGCGGAGCGATATTACACACTTGGATGCACGTTTGTGTGGGAGCATCTGGGAGCTCTTACAGAGCCTCTGGGAACCAGATGGGAAGAGATGTGGCTCTGGAAAAGCCTTTCCTTGGACCTGAGCTGGTTTGCTTTGACACACAGTTGCTGGCCCTGTCTGAAGGTGCTTCAGTCGTTCTGAAAATCCTCAAATTCTGGGATTCTGCCCCAGATAAATAAAGCCCTCCGTGGGTCGATGCAGAATGTTGATTTGGGCAAAACACAAGGAGAAAACACAGTTATTCCCTCAGCTCTGATCAGCAGCACAGGGGATTAGTCAGGATTAAGATCAGAGGGGTTTTCATCCCAGACCCAAACCTGAAGTGATGAGAAATCCCTGGCCCTGGTCACGCAGCTGCTCCCCTGGCTTTGATCCCAAATCCACTTTCCCCTGCTCCCACTGCCAATTTGGGTGACTTTTGGCCATTTTAGTTCCCATCTGACTCCACCACTTTTGGACTCATCACCAGGGGCTACATCCAAGTTGGGAAAGCACTTGGGTGTCTTCCTTCCCCTCAAAGCAGGAGTAGCTCCTGCAGAAGGCCGACAGACACCTGAAGGTGCCTCAGCTGGACTCTCCAGCCCCTGATCCATTGCAGGCAGTGCTGCTGCTCTGGGATAACACTGGGAATTTACCAGCAGAGCTGCAGATGAACCAGATGAGTTCATTTAAGGGCAGGGGAGGAGCTGAGGTGCTCTCAGCTTCCTTTAAAAGCTGGTGATGAGCCAAGGGGACACTCGGCTGGTTCTCAGCACTCGGGGACACCTGGGAGGCGCCTGAACCAAAATCAGGGAAGGACAATAAGGAGAGGAATGGGCAGGAAGAGCCTCTTCCCAATAAATCCAGGGATGTAACGAGTCCATGTGGCATGAGCTGGGGGCTGAGAGCTGGAAGGCTCAGGAAGGTGCTTGGGGGTTGTATTTTTGGGTGGCACTTGCTACAAAGGGATTCTGGGTCTCCCCATCACCCGGATTCCCAAATCGTCAATTCTCAATTAGGAAGAAATTCTTCCCTGTAAGGATGGGGGGGAGGGGCTGGGATGGAATTCCCAGAGAATGCCTCATCCCTGGAAGTGTCCAAGGGCAGGCTGGAGCAACCTGGTCTAGTGGAAGGTGTCCCTGCCCATGGCAGGGGGTGGCACTGGATGGGCTTCAAGGTGCCACCCAACGCAAACCATTCCAGGATTCTCCAATTCCATGATTCTCCATCAAAAGGGATGTTTAAAAGGAACTGTAACACCACCACATTGCATCTATGCCCGCGTTTATTTATACTGAACAGCTTTAAAAATACAGAATAAAATAGCTTTATCTACTATTATTCACAACATCTGGTCCAAATATTACATTTTTAAATATTTAGTTGTTTAATGAAGCAATGTTAGAAAAAAAACCCAAACAAACCATGAATTAAAAAAACAAAACAAAAAAAAACAAACCAAAAAAAACCCCCAAACCAAAACTCCATAAAAGAATTACACATCTTGGAACAACAACAACAACAAAAAATCAAACAACACCTCCCCCCCCAAATAAACTCTTGCTGTTTAACAAAAAAAGTTTTACAGCCAAAGTCAGTCACAAAAAGTCATGGAAAAAGAAAATTTATCCCCACTGCCTAAGAACAGTCAATAGTTTGTTACGCCAAAGGTTGTTATGAACAGACAAATACAAGAATTTGGACTGGCAGTAAAGATGATTGACCTGGAAAGGTGGAGGAAAAGCCAGAGTACACAAGGCAAGTCGAGATTTCCCTCTGATATCCATAGGTACGGATGGCAACAGCCCCAGGCAAATGGGAACCAGCCAGGGATACTCGGGATGGCTCCCAACACGGATCCCAACACTTGGAGCAGCCCAGGGAGCCCCTGGGGACTCGTGGCCTCCCCGACCCCACAGCCCTGAGGGGGCCGTGAGCCTCCAAAAACACAGAGAAACCTGCCCCAAGTGGGACCTCTCTGCAAAAAAGAGTGAGCCACAGCTCCCCTTGCTCCAAAAAAATCAAGGAAAAAGGAAAGTGAAGTCGCTTTTGGTTGCAAAAGGCCACGGAAAAGAAACGTGAAGGTCGTGCTGGTCTCACACACGCGTTTGACACACCAAGAGATTGATTATATCGAGCACAGTTGGGGTGGGTGGAGGCATCCAAGGCTCACCCAAACCATCAGACACCAGGGGTTTGGGGCCACGTGTGCCTGGAGTGCTGTTTATACCTGAAATGATGTGATTTCCACACTTTGGAGGGATAAATGTATCAATGAGGGGTCGCACTGATGCTCCTCGGGGAGGGTTCTCTGTGCAAGCGCCAATTGTGCACCGGGAGCCCCGAGGGCTCAGTGGGGAAAGGAACGAGAAAACCCTTCAGTTTTGGGTAGGAACACAAACATGGGTAAATAAAGTATACACAACCACTATAGATTCGTCAATGAAGAAATTCTACCATCACATGACATTGTCATGACACTCATACCACTCCCTCCCAGGAAAGCGCCGCCGTTATCCTGAGTGGAAATGTTATTTTTAATATATGGAAATAAAATACTGCAATATATTCATGTACAAACCAAGTTGTCATATTTCAAGTCAGTATTAAAAGGCATAAAAGCAAATTTGGGGTTTAAAAGGTTGAACTTTCTGAGCGAGGTACAAGGTGAAGTCCCTCTAATATGACAACGTGAGTCAGCCACAGCCGGCAGCTACGAAACCTAAATTTCTATAGGTACAATTTGCAAGTATTTGCTTTAGAAAACGAGTTTCAACATGTCAGCAAGAATCCTTAATTTAACCTAAAAAAAATACAAGAGAATATCAATTACAAAAATCCCAAGTTACTTTGTTTGTATACA